ATATTTTTTTTATTAAATATTGGTTAATTTTATTTCATTTTTTTCATTTTGTCTTATTTATTTTTTTTATTATTTTTTATCTGATGTTATTTTTTTTCTTTATTTGATTTTATTGTCATTTGTTTTTTATATTATTTTATTTTACTTGTTTAAAATATTTTGCTTAACCATATTGTCATGTGAACCCAGCCTTACTCTCAAGTTTCAGTCAGAGCGTAAGCGCGCCGTTATAATGTTTATCGATAGCATAAAGTACTTCGTGATCGAAATGCAATGACTTCGCGCATTTATTAAGATTAATAATTTTGTTAAATTAAATTTAAATCCTTTACGCGTTATAAAATACGTAATGCACATCCAAATACTCACACTCAGCACACAACTCGTTAACCTCTTCACTCTCAATAAAACGAATGGAAATAATAAACTTATTCATTTATTTGCTTGCCGCTCTTGAAAGTGGCAATTCAGTGCTTGTCCCGCAGCGATCCAATTAAAATTTTTTGCTGCATTAAAAATATTTCTCCAACCGCGATGAGGTCCTTGTGCCTGTTATATTCTCACAATTAACGTTAAAATGTTTATGATATGCAAAAAGTACCTATACACATGCAATACATAAACGTACATACATATATACGTTGTTAAATAAAGCTTCGCTTGAGTTGACTAAAAAACATACATACGTGTATGCACATAAGTCATAAAGTTGAACTGCCGCTTGAAAATGAGCAAACACGTAGAGGAGACACGAATAATCAAACATATGCACATTTGCGTGTGCCAAGAAAATGAATTCAAGTGTGGCTGTTTGAAATGATTTTTATCTTTTTATTAGCCATGTTGGTGATATAATAAAATTGCGAAAATTATAATGAAAGTGTAACACGTAAACCTAATAAACATTTTTGAAATGTTGGTTAAGACGAGTTGAGGATAAAGTCGTAGTGGATAAAATGGTGGAATGTGTAAGAGAGCAGAGTTAGGTTTATTCTCACGTATACATATACATATGTACATGCTGTGCTTAAAATCATAAGCTTATGTTCACTTTCATAAAGCTATTCACATGGATACGTGTATCCTTTACTTAAAAAAGGACTCAATTCAGTGTTTTCATTGGCAGAAAAATAAATGAATGTGTATTATATGTTCATAATTAACCTTGTTGTTTACCGTTGTGTTACATTTACGCTATTTTCTTCAGCCTATTCATTAACTTCAAGGCTATTCGTATTGTGAGCATGTGGTTGTGTGGGTAATAAAAATTCTATACCTACATCTCCTTATTCCTTATTCAATTAAGACATTGTTGTTGCACCCAACACTAAATTTCATTATTATTGTTGTCAATTAATTTTAAAATGACGGTAAAAGGTGCAGGTCTATATATGTGCGTATTTATGATACCCTTTGAAAGTGCTGCCAACGTAAGCATATGGAAATTCTCAGTGATTTATAAGGTACAGTTACTATATCCTTGTAGGTATAATTTCCTCAAGCCTCGCTACTCAAGTGAGCTTGCACTGCATACTTATACTCGTATGTGTTCATATGTATATTCTACCAAATACGAATGAGCTTCTTTTAAAGAGTCGCCAGGGAACTGTTAAATGATCCGTCGCTAAAGATTTACTCTCCCCTGACAAATCAAACTCCAAATTTGCCCACCTTTGATGGTTCCCGTGGTGTACGTGACAAGGTCCTTCCGTTGTTGCCCGTCCGTTGCGTTTCTTTCAGGAATATCATCCAAAAAAAATATTTCTCAAGAACAACCTACCGAGCTGCAGTGTAGCTTTAATTTAATACGTTTACCGTGACCTTCATTGAAATTGGAAGCTCTTATTTTGTAGCCATTATTTTCTTATCATTGGAGTAGTTTATTTTTGTTGGGTCTCATATCCAGTGCATAACTTTCTTTTGCTCAAACCGAGTGCGTCGGAGCTGCATCACTGAAATGCGTTGCATGAAAACACTCCAGCTTCTTACCTCGAAGCGGTGGGTAAAGAAGGCCTCACTCTGCTGAGAAGATTAGATGAATTATAACTTGTCTGACTTCGAAAAAAGAACCGATCACCTTTTATTCTCCTCTATATCATATTAGCATCAATAATATTTTTAAATTGTATTAATCCAGTATTTTTGCATTTTTCACATATTTTTATGGTATACACATATATATATGTATGTCGATTTCATTTAATGTCCAACTGCCAAAACATTTCCAATATCGCCGTCTCCTATGCACTTGCCGACTTTTAAAGGCCATGTTTACAAGCTACTTAAAAACTTTATGAAATTTTCACAAAGTCATTATTTCATTATAAATTTTATTATGCGCAAGTTTAAGCGGAACGAAAGATGGCGCGGCATTAAACACTCGTACATATGTATCTACAACTACGAGTTGTCAACCAAACAACCGACAACAGCGCCAAGGCAGAGAGCACAGCAAAATGTAGCGAGTGAAAAGTTTGTCGTTTGTTTTGGCATTTATTAATTGTTTATAAATGCGAGGCACAGCTGCTAATTTAAGTGGAGTGGCGGTGTGGAGGAGGAGAAATATAGACAAATGTAGATGAAGTAGCGGAGAGTAAATGTACGTGAGCGTATGTGTGTGTGACTGTGCCTAGCAAATAATGTCGCCAATAGTGTTTCTTTAAGCGCTACGGCTGCTCGACGAGACTGCTGGCTTGAATGAATGGACTACAGAGTTCGAAACAAGTTTGATTCGTGCGCCACAGCGACAACTGAACACACTCAGGCAGAAGCTGATAGACTTGTTAAAATGTTGTAGAAATATTTGGAAACTGGCTGCTACGAATACTATTTGGAGCCTTCCCTCTACACAGATACCAAATACGATATGTAAATGAACCAAGAGCCGAGACAGCCATTTTATGGAATTATGAAAATTAAGTGGCAATGGCACTAAGACGGCAAATTTAATGGTGTTTTTATGTATGAAAAATAGCAGCATTGGTCTATAGTTTATGATGTGATTATAAAAATATTATTAGCTGAAATTTGTGTTATAAAAAACTCTTACTTCAGGAATCTCAAAATGTGTCTGCCACCCAAAATTAAAGAACAATAAGTTTATAGTGAGCTTTAAAAACCATATCAAATGCCCTCTCTTACATCAGAATACAAACATTTACATGCGTGTGTATGTGTGTGCCAATATTTACCGACAACAATTCAAATAAATTTCACCTGTTTTTTTTTTTTTTTTTTGCTGTAATCCAAACTAATAATTACATTCTAATTGGACATTTAAAATAAAAAATTACACGTAGTAAATCGAATCAATGCAAATGGATGCCGTAATGTCACAAAACACAACAACGAAAACAAAACAGCAAAAGCAATAATTACAAGCACAACACAACAGTTAGCATAATGAGCGGCCAAATGGACGAGAACGAGCACGAGCACGAGTGTGCCTACCAACGATGGGAGGCCGAGCTAAAAGGAAGGAGCGCAAACGATTCAAGCACATTTAGGGCCGCCCAATGGCCATCAAATTAACAAACGCAAATTGTCCGCAAATTAATTACGTTGCTCGCATAGAAAATAAACATTAAACTAAAACACATACCATCATACACACATACATATGTATGCACATATATATTTACAATGAAATAAAATTACAACTAATTATACAATTTATTCTACTCACTCAGATATATCCGAAGTACGAGCCTGTATGCATGTGTGTGCATAGTAATTTTAGTAATTTGTTAAAGCATCGTCCACTGGCGCCATTTTCATTTTCCTTTTCGTTTTCATGAACATAACATGAAAATCAATTAGCCAGACAGGCAAAAATCCCACCAACAACAATGCAAGCGCGCTGTTCTAGCAAAGCAAGAAGAAGCAGTTGGGGAGTATCGCATTGTGTCAGGCTCACACTCTTGCACGCGTATAAGCCAATAAAACTTGTATAAATAAAACGCCCGTCGAGCTGTCCTCAATCCACGTAGCGCAATCCCTCGTCACAAGCATTTATAGCAGCATAAACTCAACGACCGGTGCTACTCCCCGTGGTGGGCTGTAATCATTACAAGTGCGCTTTAAACGCCAACTCAATAGTATTAGGTGGGGTAGAGTGTGAAAGTGTGTGCGCGGGGACGGAGAAAATCTCAAAGGTCTGTTTTAGCGTCGCAAAACCGCACACTCACAACGTTGGTGGTGACAACGGTGGTTGTGTACTTTGAATACGTTCAACGGCAGTCCTTGCGGACGTATTTCACTGACACTTTGCTACCTCCAAACCATTCACTCACACACATACACGCACACATACTTGGCTTTGCTCGCCCAATTAATGTCACCCCATTATTAAATGATCCCTAATTATGTGAAATGATTTTAGTTATTTAAATGAGGCAGCAGTGGTTGGGTTTGGCTTGAAAGGTTTTATATCTTACGAAGGACATAGATACTGGCTCTTGAAATTCTTGCAATTAATGAAGTTATTATAAGCAGAGCCAGCCATGCCAACTGGTGCTACCTACATTTGATCGAGTAGGCAATTGAAACGTAAAGTCCTCTCTCTCGAACCAAAACCAAACCCTACAAGTTCCTTATGGTCCCTGTCGTACTGCTTCATCCGGTGATATCGTTGAATGGATGAAAGCACTCCACCTTTGAAAGCATGCGATGCAGAACTCGCTGATGGAATTAGAGGAAGGGGAAGCCATCAGTTGAAGACTGATCTGTCTTAAGACGGAGAAGAGTGTTTTGGATATCCAATTGCGAGCTCTTTCCTTTGATCATAGAAATTCATTGTCGGCGAAAAAGAGCTGCAAGAGAAGGCTTCTCACCAGTTAAGGAAATTACCCATTCATTCCGGTAATATCGGTCTTCAAAATGAATCTGTGAGCTCGCTGACAATTTTCTTTTGCATCTGTGACATTTCTTCTTTTATATCGTAGGCATTATTACACGTATATAAACTTTAATTTATCGTGTATGTTTCTTCTTCTTTCTAGTGTCGGCCAGTCTCTCACAGGCGCATCAACACCATCAAAGCAACGACAAGGATGGCAAGAAGAAGCATACCCGCCCAACATTTAGTGGACAGCAAATATTTGCGCTGGAAAAGACATTCGAACAAACCAAATATCTGGCTGGACCAGAACGAGCGAAACTCGCCTATGCCTTAGGGATGACTGAATCACAAGTGAAGGTGAGTACAAAATTAAAGTTTAGCTCAAATATAGCAAAAGGGTGTGTTTAGATTTAGATGTGGGTGAACACATAGAATATTGAAAAAACCCTGTCCTTTTTTTTTTTTTTTGAGAAATTCACATTTGAAAGAGATAAGACACAGATAAAACCAGAAACTTAAATAATAGAAAAAAAAACTAAAAATAAAACCTTCAAATGCACACAAACATGAGAAAGCGCTGATAAAAGCTCGCAGAGAAGTGCAAGCTAAAGAGGAGACACCGTGAAAGGCGTTGAAAATTTGCATTTTTATTGAAAGGCAAATCCGAGTGGATTTCAGTTTGGAAATAAAGCATGCGGCGAGTAAAAGTTTAAGCTGCTAGCGAGAAGTGAGCGCTCACGCCACAAGCGTTTGATACAAAAATGGCGTTCATAACGGCCATACCTCCCACATTCAGTGGCTGAGAGGCGGCGAGTCTGTTGGCTGTTAGCTCTTGGCTGTCTGTTGGCTTCATCGTTTTCGAACGTTTCATTTTGTGGCAACCTTATATGCGCATTTTATTGCATACTTCATTTCTTTCTATTTTTATTTCATTTTTTATTTTTTGAGCTGCCGCAGCCGCTTGGGATTATTTGGGTTGTTGGTGTACGCTTGTGTGCGCTTTAAACTCGTAATACCCCATAATACGCGTCGCATGTCTAAAATACTTTTTTCCACAACACCTTTCTTCTTCATTTTCTGTATGTACATAAAAATCGCTAACTGAAAACTCAAAATCTAAAAATCCACGCAGACAATTTACCCGTCGCTTGCCACTTAATGCTGAAATCCACACAAGCTTTGGGCTTTAGCTGATGAATGCGCTGTTTTTAAAATGCTCTAATGTATTTTATTTCGAAATTTTTTTTTTCTTGATTCGCCTTTTCATTGTTGCGACGACATAGCCCCTCATTTTATACCGTTAAACACAAATCCTTTTGTCGTCAAATTTGTCGTGACATTATTATGTCCTACGAACGTATGTATGTACGTACACCCGCACGCGTGTGGCGGAGTGTTGTCGCGCTGATACACGTACAAAATTAATGTACATATGTATATATGCTTTGTATGTAATATGTTTGTTGCTTACCTCAGATGTGTCGTACCGTGTTGTTGCAGGCGTTTATTTCTATTCCTTTTGTTATTACCTCGTTTGCTTTATTTGCGGTTGTCACTCGCTTTGTCCCCCAACTAAATAGAAATATTATATAAAATGGTCCTAATCCGCATATTTAATTGCTCGTGCGCTATTTTGGGCGAGTGATATGTATCAAAATAAGAAAATGAAGAAATTTTATTTAAAATTCTTTTCAATGCACTTTTACATGCGAATTTTTTATTGATTCCTGCACTAATTGACAGTTTCATGCACAAATCACTCGCTGTATGGAACGAGTGTAGGTGTAGGTAACTGTCAAGTGCATGAAGAAAACATGTCATAAAGTAAATAGTTGGCAACGCGTACACAAAAAATAAATGCTGTGTTTCTATCGAATAAAAATAAATAAAAATTTTATTGTATTCAATTGAAAGACAAAAATCATTAAAAAATTTAATATCACAATAATCTCAGGATAATTTAAATAATTATTTTATTTCTCGGAACAAGTTGAGTGTGGGAACTGCGCTTGTGTTCCTTTCGGAGCGGCCAAAAATATTTTGCTAAATACAATTACAAGAATTTCTAGGTTAAAGTATTTTCATGAATTGCATAACTTTCAAACACTCGTCATCCACAATCTGCGTTTCCCTCTAACTCTCTTGTACTCTGAAAATTTTCCAAACTTCCATTAAATTCTAATATTTAACAACTGTTAATGGTTGCCAATAAACAATAATTCGCCTGATTGCCGAATCATTTTTGAACTCCGCTGTGCTTTTGCAATTGAAAACAATAAATTCTTCAAACTTTCCTATGAAATAAGTTAAATAAAATTCATTCGCTATTTTACGCAACAGATTTTCGTTATTACTTGAAGGGCAAAGAAGAAAGTGAAATAGCTTAGCTAATGCCGATTGCAGAAGTGATAATTATTAATTGATAACTGAGTATAAAATGTAAATACGAAAAATAGACATAAAACAAAAACAATTAAAATGACGTTTGTTTGCTGTTAATTGCCTAAATATTCATTAATAAATTTCAAACTTGCTTAAAATCTTTTGACATTTGGCTAAAAGCTTTTTCTGATCATTTAGTACATAATTTATAATGTGAATAATAAAATGTGCATAAATTTGTGTTAACTTGGTCTGTTAAGTTTCCTACGATCCATTGGTGTGAATTTTTAGTAAGAAGTATTTTTTAAAACGAATATTTTTTTTTTATTTGCCAAGACCAAGTTCAAAGTCTAATAATTTCAGGTTCAATTTAAAACTGGCGCGAAACCGTTTGCTACTCTTTTTGGAAAATTTTCAGAATTAAGTAAATAAATAAGCATGTTTCAAAACGGTGTTCAATAGTTAGTTTGAAAATTAATTCATAATTTTTTCAAAATTAGTCTAACACCATTTCGGAGTACTCTCCACTTCAAGACCACAATTTCAAATCATTCTAATAGAAGATAACATAAAAGCAAAAACGAAAATATGAGTATGAGTTTTTGAAAAAATTTTGAAATCGATCAGCTAATGAGATTCAATGCAATTTCTCAGTTAAAAAAGAATATTTTTTTCTAATTTTCAACACTAAACAAAATAATAGTTTTTAAATCAATTCCGGCAGCTCTGGTTACAACTACCGTCAAAAGTGGTTTTCACAAACTTATGAACAACATCAGTCGTCGCATTGTAGTGAGCACTTTTCCTACTACTCCAACATACATACAAACATTTAGCGATTATGATGAAGAAATGATTAATTGCCGAAGAATGAGGAGGACGAATGTTTATGATTTTATGAGGGATTGAATTGAAGCGACAGTTGCACAATACGAATGACACGAATGGACACAGCGAATGTCTATTTGTAACTATGTATGTTTGTATGTATATTTAAATTGATGGATAGATGCATGAGTGAATGAGTGAAGAGCTAAATGGACAACAGAGAGTCGAATCAAAGTGAAGTCGAGTAGAGTCGAGCAAATGGCAATAATGGTTGGAGGATGGTGACAACTGCAACGACAAATGATTTTTTAGTCGTTAATACACGAACATACATACATACATACACACATACATACATATGTATACATGCATGCTTGGGAAATATACATTTTGACTGTAAATTAAAAATCCGGAATGTCCTTGCGCGCATTGTTTACACACATACATGCATACATATTTCTACATATGTATGTAAGTACAGAATTTTGATGCGGCAAGTGTGACGTTTCTTCATTCATACATATTAAATTAGCAGGCCGATTGAGTGTGTGAGTGACAGAGAATCAAAACTGCAACAGAAAGACATTGTGATGAAGCTTCAGAGGCAAATGATGTTCATAATTGCTATTTGTCTCTATATTTATGGATGCATCTGTATATGCATACATTCATACATGTGTATATGTATATGTACTAATACTCTATGAGTCGGTAGCATGTTGCAAGCAATAGTATGCAAATTTGCAGCAAAAACAATAACATTTGAGGGCATCAATTGTCTGGCTGGCTGGCTTTTGCACGCATTTCCATACATAGACAGTTTGAAAATGCAAATTAGTTAAAATTACACGAATGGCATAAACGCACATGCACCTACGATGCTAGGATGGTGCTCTACGAACAAATCGGCGAACGAACAGAGCGAGTAAATGAGCAAGAGCGGCGAGTTGGCTGTGTAATTTGACATTCACAGTTATACCCAAACTTCTATTTGGTTGTGGGAGTCTCGCCACTGTTACTACCAACGCAAATATGTATATACTCGTATGTATGTTTATATGTATGTATGTATGTATGTATGTATGTATGTATGGAGGAGCATTTTCATAATATGAGAAATGATCTTGACAAGAATAATTGCATGTTAGCATAATTAAAACCATTTATAAATGTATGAAGACATATCAACATACTCGTACATACCTACATATATACAGTCAACAGCAGTTACAATACAATAATAATAACAACAATAATAATAACAAATGTGTATACATATGTACATCCATACATAAAATGTACTAAAGCGCTACGCAATGAAAACAATGACTGTCATAACGTTGAGATTTTATTATTATTATTGTTGTTGCCTTTGGTTGGCTGGCTGAGTTTGCTTTACTGTACTCAGTTGTAGTAGTGACTGAGATTTGTTGCCCGCCATAAAGGATAACATACACAAATGTGTATATAGGGAGTATGTAAAATCTGGGCAGCAGCGCTGGGTATTTGAGTATTTCGCCTTGTTTTTGCTCCGTTATTATTAATGACTGTCGGGAGTTGTGTTGATGATATGAATTCTCGAGCACGTTTTGAATGCACAAAATGTTGATTAACCGCTGAGCTATCTGCTCAAGCGTAAAGCTTAATTGTGAATTATGAAAGTTTTGATTGAGCCTTTTTTCAATTCGCCTGAATGAAGAGAGTATAGACGAAGATTGGATTAATAATTTTTTCGAATTCAATTTTTTGGTATTTAAACTAAAAAATTATAAATAATAAAAATGCAAAAAATTGAAATTATAAATTTTAGTAAATAATAGAGAGTTGGATTTGCAACGAATTTGGTATAGATTGGCAACGCTATTCAAAATGTTAAGAGTTGTGCAAATAGCCTCCGCAGAAATCATGCCTGAATAAAAGAAGAGCGCCTAATGAAGTAACTCCATAATTTTCAGTACAGCGATCTGCTTGCCAAGAGTCACTCCAAAATAACTCCACTCCACATCCAGCTGTCACTCATTTAGCCATATATCATATTTTATTAGCAATTTTTTACTTTAATAACTCCATGACTAAACGTCGCTTGCTTTTCGGTACAAAATACCAATTTAACTGGAATTTTATTATATACAAACTAAGGCAAGAGC